ACTAATAATATTGATAAAGTTGAGTTGAGTTAAATTATGAGTATATTGAAAAAAATTATAAACAAACGCCCCTTACCATACCAATTTTTTTTTTTTTTAAATTAACCAACCAAAACCAGTAATTCCAAACAAGAATAAACAAATCTTATAACAAACCAGTTTATTCCATAATCAATGGAAGCACAAAATTTCTCAATTCACTCCCAAACAATATGATATTAACGCGGCAAGTCCTGTGGATTTGTCTGAGTTATTTTTTCAGTTATGTCTTCTTCACGAATCACGAGTGTTTCTACTTTTATTTTTAAAGAATACCTAAACAAATTACTCGCTGAATTGATCCATTCGAGAAAAATAAAATATTGAGACACGAATTTTGCCTTCCAACAATCATCCCGATTAACATTTCAAGATGATGCGTTAGAATGCATTAGATGTGTTAAAAGTGGACGAACACATTAAGCCAATGCTTAACACAGCAACTCATTAGAGAATACAGATGCTCTTAGATAATAGACATTAGGTTCGAGAACTTGACCGAATCCCCCAAATAAGAGATCATATTGGCATATCGCCTTTTAATCGGCTTGAAAAATTCAAGTTCATACATACCGACCATTATGAAAAAAAGCTCCATTTTGTGTGAACTGGTTAAAAATTCTAAAAGTTCAAACTCCATACCGACCCATATGAAAAAAGCTCCATTTTGCGTGAACTGGTTAAAAATTTTAAAAGTTCAAATTCCATAAACCATTCAGTATAACCAGCAGCAAGCTTGTTTATATCTGAGCTGATTCAATACTACTCTTTGATGAGTCGACCCGCCTAACTGTTGGACTGACTCACTGTAGAATGTGTACTTAATCGACAAATAAACCACTAAGAATCTCTTCTTCTAGGCACAGCTCACCTTAAATCTTATGTGAAGGTAATATGGTACTGAAATACACAAACAAAGTTGACAAGGTTCTATGTCTGGAGGATCACAATCTCAGATATCACATATGCCATCGAATAAGGTAACTACAAGATGTTCAACAAAAATTTGGAGAATAAAATCAACCACTACCAATACCAGCAGCAAGTTCTCCAACAGCTAAATCATGATTTCCACACAGCAAAAGGCCTGCAGTTCATGCAATAGTCATAGTTAGTCCCAACTGATCATCACAACTAGAAAAACCAGAGCAAAAATTGACATTGATATACAATAAGTAGCAGACGAGTTGAAATTA